GTGCTGTTCACCTCTCCCATGATGCTAGAACAAATGGTCATCCAATGGTCCTGTAATGTAAAATCAGGACAGACAAGAGAAAATGCTACACATAATGTAGAATTAACTTGTGGTAATTACATAATTTATAAAATTTGTTGCCACAAGATATATTGGTGGCCACTAATTTTAAAGGATGTTAGACAACTTCATGTTGGAAACACCTGCCAATGTATTCCATTTAGTCCAGAGCAGAGGATACTTTGATCCTCTAGTTATTGCTCAACTTCAGTTGTCAATAGTACTTGCCAGCATGGCTAGTGATGAAGGATGATAAGAATGGTGCCTCATCAACATTTGGAGTACCACAGATTCCCCAGCCCTAATTTAGCCACCAAATATCAATTTCTGTGGCAGTAACTGTGTGAGAGGCCTGTTGTCTTTGTGGCTTCTTGGAGTTAACCAATTTGTCACTGCATTAGAAGATCCTTGGTTTGATCTGGCATTATGTTCTCATGAAACTTCAGAAGTAGCTCTGCTACCAAGAGGCACTGAGTGTTGCTGTTACCTTTGGTACTTTAGTCTAGCAGTCCTCAACTTTTGGTCCTTCAAAATATATTGAACTTCATCTCTCAAAAGCCCCAGCCAGCATGGCAAATGGTCAGAAATTCTTCTATTGAAACCCAAAACATCTGTAAAGCCAAATGCTGAGAACCTCTGCTCACAGACTGAAGATTTCCTTTGAAATGCTAAATGCAACTTTAAGAGTTACATTTTTGAAAAGAGGCTATGACATGAAAAACAACTCACCCCAATGGTTCAAAAGTTGTTCATCAACTGGTGTCAAGCTTTGATGTGTTCTAAGTCAAGATTGTTTGTTGGATTCATTTTTAATACTGGACAACATTTGCTTAGGAATTGATGCTTTTCTTTTTATCTTGCAGAAGATCTTTCAAATTTACATCAGTAGTGCATGTAACATATTTTTATTTTCACATATTTAGATGTCTCCTTTCTGTGTCAGGACCAAAGAATAGGTAATATTAAGAGAGTCACTTCTAAATGTTTTTTTTTACTCTTTAAAAAGAAGAAGAAAAGAAGCCCCCAAATAAGAATACTTGATCCAGCTTGGAACTGCTGCCCAATGGGACATGTATTTATTTTATCATTTATTTATATGGGCCTGAATTCACTATTGCATTTTTGAATGCATAATTTTTAGTTATGCATTCATGCCTGGTTTCTATTCATATTCATGCTCCATGTATATTCAGTGGTTTAGGGAAAATGTTTGTTATTGTATGCCTTCAAGTAGTTTTGCAGGGTTTTCTTGGCAAGATTTGTTTGGGAGGGGTGCCTTTGTCTCCTTCTGAGGCTGAGAGACTTGCCTAAGGTCACCCAGTTGGTTTCATTGGGTGAGGAGGGAATCAAATCTTGGTCTCTAGAGTCATAGTCCAACGCTCAAACCACTATGCCACACTGACTCTAGGGAATATGCAGGGACTGTAAAACTCCCTCAATCCCTGCTTACTTGGCAGCAGCCACTACTAGTTCAGGGATTTGCTCTCTTGTCTATTGGGAAGCAATTGACATTTCTACCTCCCTGCCCGTAAGTGATCTCAAGTGTGAGGAGGAATTATAATAGGAACCCTGCTTCTGATTGTCATACTGGAGATCACTTGCAGTACAGGAGTGGGAATGTCAGTCAGTTATTTCCCAATTGCACAGGGAATTGGGCTACACTACTTAGATACATACCTATGGTCATTCATAGATAAGTAGTTGATATAGCATTATATCCTGCCTTTCTCTTGAATGGAATACTGCAGTTTTAGTTTTATTAAACTTTACCTCCTATGTAGTTTGCCTGTTACAAATCACTACAACTCCAGAAACTATTTTCTTCCAATGCGTGAATTGCAGCAAATAGCATCACTGACTCGAGTAGCAACTTTGGAGGCATTTTAAACGAGCAACTGGGATAAGAGTTCTTATCTTATCCCAGGACACTTCCTCCTCCTATGTCATAATCCCAAACCAGTTTAGGGACCCTGTAGCTTCATTTTTTTTTAACAAGACAGTACTAGCTGTAAATGTGCTTGATATACTGTGTAGCCTGGATCCTGTAATTTGGGCAGCGTGACATCAGTGGTCTTTTTTCTTCCCACTGTAGCCATTGCTCATTTACTTGGCCATTGGACCCACTATGCATAGTTGGCCAGTGACTGTACCTCCTTCTCCTTGTTCTTTTCAAAGCCCACTTGGAGAAGACAGATGAATAGCAAGCAGTAGCAGAATGAGGTGAAGGTTCAGGTATAAAACCAACCAAGGGGTTCTCAAACCCCCCCCCAAGCAAATTCAATACTAAACATTTACTGAAAATATTGCTTGTAATGTCAAGTTAGATTCAAACCAATAACATATAAGCATTAAAGGCCTATCTAATCTAGCATTTCCTTCCATGGATAGCAAGATACCTATGGAATAGCCACTAGCAGACTATGAGAGCAACAGACATGCTCCATTGTTTTTCCCCACTGACTTTTGCCTTAGAATGTAGGTAAACATCATGATAAGAAGACATGAACATCCTTACCTTCCTCACACCTGTCTAACCTGCTTTTAAAGACACTGAACAAAAATGGAGTCTTCTGTGAGCTTTGCAGGAGGGCCAGCATGGTTTGGGCATGGACTACAAAAATAGAAACCAGAGTTCAAATCCCTGCTTCAGCTTAAAAAACCCATCTTGGGCAAGTCACACTCTCTCAGCCTCAGAGGATGGCAATGGCAACCTTGCTCTGAAGATACTCATCAAGAAAACCCTATGATAGGTTTGCTTAGGGTCACCATGAGTCTAAAATGAGGTACACAACAAGAACAAATCATCTCCAGATACTGGGCTTTGAAGGACATGCCCATGGAATGGTTACACTGCCACTCAGTGGAGTCTATTAACATAATAATCTTTTTATAGAAAGAACGATGCAGCTATTTTTCACTTTTAAATGAAGTGTTACATGGAAAGAAAAATTGTTAATATTTTTAGTTCTGGCCTAAATAAACAGAGATATTAGGATCTAAACTGCATCATGTCAGTCTTATTCTTACAGTTTGTCTCCTCTTTGATTTTACAAACAGGAAAAGAAATGGTAAATGTATTAATATTCTTCATTCTTACATGCCACCCTCCTTATTGACTATATGGACATTATCACACGTGGGCCACAAAGTGATAATAAAGTGGAAATGAGGCATTCCAAAAATAAACTGAAAATAAATCTTGATTCCGCAAATGGCTTTCACACGTAATTACCTTAATTGCGAATTTACAGTAAGCGCATTTAACGTTCACACACAAGTGAGAAAAGCCCGTAAATATACTAGAAATTATCTTCTTGCACATGCGCAGATAGAGGAATGCTCGCCTTGGAACCATGGGAAAAGCAGGGAAATGCGCATTTGCTTTTCACATTACGGTAAATGCAAAATTACTGTAATTTCGCAAATGCATTTCCTCAAAACAACCGCATTTCAAAAGATCTCAGATAACACCAGTTTCTGTCCACTTTCTGTCCAGTTTCTGTGCGACGTCGTGTGAAAACGTGAGGCACAAATCCAGTTTTTGTTTGGGATTTGTGTGGATTAATCAGCAGATTTGCCCCGTGTGATAACGTCCCAGGCCTGGTGTCAGATTTTTTTTAAAAATATTGTAATCAGTGTCCACTTTTTTTAAAATATATATATCAAAAACCTTCTCATTTCAAAAGTCACAGAAATCTCAGCCACTTATCACAATCCATTTTGAAACAATTCAAGCATAGAAGGAGAAAGAAAAGGAAATGGGAAGATCCACATATAATCTACAGAAGGTGAACCTTCATTCTGTTGCTCCTGCTTTACACTGGCTTGGTTTCGGCATAACCATAAACTATGGCTGAGTGTAGGCACAGGAAACTTTTGATCATCCAGATGTATAGAATTACAGCTCCCATAATCATTTACTATTGAGCATACTGGCTGGGGCTTTTGGGAATCAAAGACCAGAACATCTGGAAGACCAAATATTCCATACCTTTAGCTACAGGGCCAACACAATCCTTCCTCTCTTTTAATCTTGTGTACCCAGAAGCAAGAGAACATAAGCTTACACTTCTAAACTTATTATCCCATGTTTTTTCATATGTTCAGTTAAAATGTGAAGAGTAGAGTGGTCTCCTCTGTTTTCAGTTTCATTACTCTCCTATATATAATGGGTGATAAGTGTTAAATGGAAGTCCCCCACTATTTGTGGATACTTCATGTGAGTGGAATCCTGATTTTCCAGGATTCTGACCCATGTGGAGATGATGATGATGATGATGATGATGATGATGATGATGAGTAATACCCCACCCTTTCCCCAAAACTGGGACTCAGGGCGGCTTACAAGATTAAAAACAGTACAATTTAAAACATAGAAAAATGTTACATTAAAACAGAATTAAATTATTACAATATTAAAACAGATTGCATAAAAAATAAAATATAGTTAAAAAGATAAAGGTGTTTCAAATACTTTAAAAGAATATCCATAGATAATATGATGCTCCCTTTTCATATTCAGTGCCTTCCATTTGTAAGAACTGTGAAACCAGAGATAAAGTGAAGCAAGACTACCCTTCTCAATTGTTGGTAGAATATATGAAAATAATTCATGAAGAGGGTTTTTCAGTTCTTGACTATGTCAGAATTTTTGGAAGTCTGATCATTTTAAATCAGCCTCTCCCAGCGTAATACCTCCAGAGATACTGGTCAACAACTCCCAGATCACATAGATAGCTGGAAATAGTAATTCAACACACTGGGAGGAATGCTAGACTGGGAAAGGCTGGTTTAAACTTTGATGTTTATTGTTGCATGCCTTCAAGTTGGTGAAGGTATCATGGGTTTTCTTGGCAAGATTTTTATGGTGGAGGTTTGCCTTTGCTTTCTGCTGAGGCTGAGAGAGGATGACTTGCCCAAGGTCACCCATTGGATTTCCATGGCCATGCAAGGATTTGAACCCTGGTCTCCAGAATCACAGTCCAATGGACAAACCACTATGCCACACTGGGTCTCAGGTTTAAACTAGGGTTAGCAAATAAGCCAGAATTATAAATCACAAATCAAACAAACTAATTTAAACCAACCAGAGTTTCTTGTGAATTCAGATGAAACAGATGAACAGCAGATCTAATTCAAAGATATAGCCATGTTAGCATGTAGAATCAGTATGTAGAGAGATCTTGTAGCACCTTTGAGACTAACTGAAAGAAAGAAATTGGCATCATGAGCTTTCATAGACTTCAGTCTACTTCCTAAGATATAGTTTAAATCAGGACTGAAAACTTTCAGTCTTCTTTTTAAAGCCAAGTAAAGACGAAAAAGCTACTTATTCACTTAACCTAAAACCAGTTTGCCATTAGAAATGAAAAAGCCTGTCCTCTTTTGACTAAATCTTTTTAGACACATTGAATCATTAGGACATTTTTTATACTGACAGATAATGGAGTAGTGGTGCTTCTCTATATCTGTTCCCTTTGACTAGACTGCCCTGGTGAGACAAAATTCCAACAACCCAAACTAGGCGAGGACAATCCATAACATATATACATTTAATTTCATTCCCAATGTGTGAAAATCTTCATCTCATTGTGTTTTATCACTTTATGTGCCATTTCCATGCAAGTTTCTCCTTTCTTATCATTCTCCAGGGGATAACCACAACATAGACAGTGTCATATACAGGTGGAACTCCAGGAAGGGCCTTTTTGAAACCAACCAAACCATTCCTACCTCAGGTGCCTATGACTGGGAGTTTTTCCGTATTGGGCCTTATTCCTTCCTAGTGGTAGCCAACACATTTAATGGAACAACCACCAGGATCTACTCTCACATTTACATTTGGTTGAGTGGAACCTTCCAGCTCTTCCAGTCAATCTTGGTAAGATTTACATTGAATACTTGGAAAATCACTGATGTCAGTAGTCTCTCCTGTAATGTAGATTGCAGTTATTTCATATTGTCATTTTATTCATAGTTGCTTGGCTCAGTGCATCACCTGATAGCCAAGTCCCTTTTTACTTAATTGACCTGGTTCTTGGATGACAAATCTGCTTCTGGAGCAAAATTAATTTTTCCTTTTTGTTAGAAAATTATTATGTTTAGGAGAAAAGACCAAAGCCACTTATTTTTGTTCATGTTTATAATATCATGCTTTAGTAACTGCATCCATGCTAAGCAACTTTTAAACCAACAAGTAGTAAAGGCAGCATGAAAGGAGATCTTTAGAAGGTCCTCCTATGTTCTACAGAAATGTTCTATGTCACATTTCTGTTCTGGTAGTCTCTTAATCCTGAAAATGTTGCTGGGATCCATGTGGGAATAAATAAGATAAAGAAAAGTTGTGAGTAAGAAAATGAGATTATAAAGGAGGAGGGAAAAGAAATAAATAGGAGGATTTTGGAAGGATTGATGGGAACTGGGATTCTTAAACATTCATGCATTGGTTTCCTTCTCTCCAAAGCTGAAAAGCAAGTACTGGTGCGTGTGTGTGTTTACAACCATGGATGGCATTTTTCAGGTTCATTCTGGTAAGGCTTTTAGTGCAGACATGTACCTTAAATTTAAACGGCATTTCAACACAGAATTAAAAGTTAAAACTTTTCCTTGTAATGTAAGTGAAGTTGAATTAGATTTTTTAAGCACATTACTGATACCACCTGCCATGGAGACAGGATTTCTTCATAACTGTAAAATCTATATGTGTTGTGTGTAAGTTTCCAGGTAAAATTCAAGAGAAGAAATGTGTTGAGTTGTCTGGATAGGTTGTTTTTTCCTTTTAAAGGAGAGCTTTAAGAGAAATCTCTTTCACTATTGAGAACAGCTAGATTGTTTGATGCAAGATTTGTTCACTCATCTGAGCCTTGCTGTTCCTTAAAAAATTATAGGGAGATTTTTATTTTACTGAAGAGGAGAAGGAATTTATTTTATTTAAAAAGTGAAGATTTTGAATGCAGGTGGTGGGAGGAATAAAAAACATTTCCAAATTTTGATGGAGTATCTCTTTGAAGGAACGTACTTACTAATAAATAAACAAACAATAAAACACTCAAGTAAAAATGGTCCAGGCACTTTCAAGTATGAGGTAGCACTTTTCTTCCTTGACAGGCAAACAAGACCAGGGCATTGTTTGTGTGCCAGTCTTACACTCATCTCCATTCACACCACACAAAAAGCTAAATTGATAGCCCCTATCAAGATAATTGGAACAGTTATGCAAGCCAGTATGATTTATGGTTCAGAAACCAATAAAATCAGTTTTCTTAGTCATGGAAGTACAAAGCAGAGGGGGAGGAAATCTATGGATCCTTCACATCCAAAAAGCTAGTGTGAACAGACAGCTCAGTATTTGTACAATCCCTTGTGGAGCTCATACTCAGTCTCTGTATGTATATTGGTGCTTACACTAAATTGCATTTCTTGAGAGTTTTTAGGATGTCTCCTCTACACATTTGACCAGGCCAGGTACAACCTCATTTTTGGCAAGTAGTTTCCTTTTGCCTTTTCTTTTGGCCTAGACTTTTGGTGCTGCTGACTGGGAGGTCTTTCATATCCAAGACAGAGTTTTCCTTGCTGTGGCAAATAGCCACAGTTATGACAGTAGATCTGTTGCCCCAAACAGCTACCATGCCATTAATTCTTCTATTTATGAACTCAACATCACTGCACAGATGTTTGTCAAGTTCCAAGACATTTTAACCTACAGGTATGCTTTTCTTGTATTGCTCAAAACACTGACATTATCGCATTTGGATAGATCGGGGTGGGAAATGTGTGGCCCTGACACTGCTCACAGCCTCTGGAACCTGTATCTATGTTCCTTAATGCCTCAGGATTCTTATGTGACTTCACTTTTTTTGCCCTCCTCTGAAAAGGTGAATTGACACTGAGCAGTCTCCAGTGGTGGCAATTCATTAAAAAACAAACAACAGGTTGCAGAGACTGTTCCATTTTTTAATCCCCACTCATAAGGTCATCCAACCACTCTGACCTTAGGCAACATCTTTCCTGCTGCCTTTGTCCCTCACTGATCTTAGTTAAAACTGAACTTGTCACCTCATTCAAGGCCACAAGTTTTGCATTTCTATGGCTATTCATGCAGTCCGATTATGAAGATCCTTCCTGGACACTAGTTCACTGCATTCATATCAGGACGTAGACCTACTCCCGTGATGGCAAACCTATGGCACGCATGCCAAAGATGGCATTCAAAGACATTTTCCTCAGCTCACGGAGGGCGTGGAAGACAAAGAAGAGGTGCACACCTGTTTCTCCTCCTCCTTGGCTGTCCCAAGCCTTCAGCTGCCTCTGCCTTCCCAATCCTCCCTGGCCTTCAGCTGCCTCTGGAGAGGCAGCTGAAGGCCCAAGAGGGTGAGGGGAAGAAGTCCCACTGCCATTGGGCACTCGGCCGCTAAAAGGTTCGCCATCACTAGTCTATGAAAGCTTGTGCTATAACTTCTTTTGCACAGTTAGACTCAAAGGTGCTACAAGATCCCTTTGCATACTGTTTAACAAACACACGTTTTCAAAACTTTCAGGATAATAGTTTTCCTTTTTTAAAAAAGCATTTTTGGTAGTCTGTGCAGTCCCTGGAGGGTCCAAGGGGCACAAATTGGCCCCTGGCAAACAGTTGCCCAGCCCTGTGATGTAAGAAGGGGTGTGAATTGCTGTTTGTCTTTTCCCCCCCAGGAATATTTTTATTCTTTGTTCAGATTGTATGAGTACATTCTGATCCCTTTTTTTAAATTGTTCTTCAAAGAAGAAATGCATAATATCAAGATAAGAATACTCCCTTTTCTAAATACAGAAAACCCAAAATAACCTTGCATTTTAAATGAAAAAGGATATATTCACTGGTTATTCTAGGATCATTTGTTGCAATCTCTTCCTGTTTGGTTGCTTTCTCCTATAGTGCTCTGGACTGGGAGTTCTTTTCAGTGGGAGAAGATAATTTTTTGGTGGTAGCGAATTCCTTTGATGGTGTGACCTACTCTGTAAACAGTATTATTTACAGGTAAGATGTTGGGAGTGCAGCTCTTGAAATGTCACAGACTGATTCATATGTCAAATTTTATAGAGAATAAAAATGAGAAAGATCACTAGTAGCCTTGTTGGGCAGGGCTGATTAATTTCTGCCATCACTGTAGTCTTTGCTATTGCGTTATCTTATAATAGTCTCCTTCACAAAAAGAAAAACATGTGATGGAAATTAATCTTCCTTTTATCTTTGTGTCTGCCATTGAATTATAAGTTGTCAAAAAAAACCTCCCAAAAAACAACCAAAACACTAGATCAATGGACAGGATCAAATGAGGAATCTAGATATAATTCAAAGATTTCCTTTTCTTCATACTTCCTGGCCAACATCTTCTGCTTTTATATTATCCATGAATTGTTTAATTCACTTTAGATGCCCTGGTAATTAAATAATACTTGTCTTTTGAATAAAATTTGCCAAGTAATTAAATATCAGAGTGGGGTTTTTTTAATAAAGCCATGTTAGCTAGTGATAATTATTCCATTTTGCTCCAGAAACATATACATATTTGTTTGGTTCCTGTAATACCTTCCTATTTGAACTAATACCTTCCTATTTGAACAAACTAGCCTATTTTAGCCTGTTGGGTTTTACTTCCTCTTTCTAAAAGATAGATATTATATATCAGTTCTTCTTCAGTCCTCTGGAACAGGCCAGACCAAGCTACTTTTCTGTTTTGATAGCATAATTAAAAAGAACATGTTTTGATGCATGTTTATTTGCTTAGAACCTGGCAACATACAGTATACCAAATTGAAACCCTTAACTGAAATACAGAAAGAGGATGGAAAAAGTTACTTCTATATACTGCTAAACAATAGTAACCCTCCATCACTGATTTGGTTTTTCATTATGTTATTCCAGCCAGAAGGAAAATGAGGAAGGTCAAAACACATTCTTCTTTTGAATTAACAGACAGGTATTACATCTGTTACGTAGAAGCCTCTTAGGTTGCTAAGAGAATGATATAAAATTTG